GCTGGGGCTGGGACATGGGGCTGGGAGCTGGGGCTGGGACACGGGGCTGGCAGCTGGGGCTGGGACACGGGGCTGGCAGCTGCCTGGGCCGTGCTTAGCAGAATTGTGCCACATGTTCGCTGGGATGGCTTCCTGTCCGCAGGCTGACTGCTCAGCTCCCCGTGACCTGGTGTGTGAAGTGCCCCCTGCCAGCCCCCGGGACCCCAGCGGCGGCTCCCGGAGCTGGTGCAGCTGGTTCGGGCTGTGCTTGGAGGAGCTGTGGTCCCTCCTGCAACCATCATGGGTAACAGCAGCATGGAGACTGCCATCTCCAGGGCTTCCATTGTGCGAACTGGATTTCTCGTTTTCATTCATTAAATGAATGAATGCTCTCTGCAGGGAGGAGCATGAGTGGACCAGGGACTGTCCACATCCTTTCTTCCTTTTCCGTTGAGACTATTATATCCACACGATTTCCCAGCTTTCTCTTTTCTCTGCCTTCTTCACACACACAAAAAGTAGCGTGCCGAGTAGCAGACCTCCAGGGGGCTGAGACAAGATTCAAAGTGGTGCCAAGGTTTCCAGTTTGCTTATACATTCCGTGGCGTTGGCAAATACGATGCTCACCAGTAAGGTGCTATCCAGAAGAAATCAGTTATTATTGCTACAGAGTAATAGCTGCGATGGACTAAAGAAGTGGAGTTTGATTCCGTGATGGACAGGATCCCATGTTGTCCCAAGTACCTGCTGCCCCCCACACCTCCCCCACACTATATGGCAGCCCTGCAGCCTGCCTGCTCTCGGGCACCTGAGGGGGCCTCCGTGCCAAACACAAGGCAAAATCAAAACAGTAATTAAAAATAACCCTCATCAAGATAATACAATCTAAGCACGGATTGCGAGACAGATATGTCGGGGGCCTTAAGTAGTTAAAACGGTTAAACCCTAAATGATTCTTACTTCCAGAGAGAAGAAAAAGGGGAGGGGCCTTGTTCTTGTCAAAAGAAGTTAAAGTAACAGTTTCTTCATGTGCATTCCTTCCACCACCCCTCTGATAAAACCCAGGGCCAAAGCCACCTTCACACTGAGAGGAGCCGAATCTGGGGGCGGGGGGGTGGGGGTGAGAGAGGATTCCCCAGGACGTGGTGCTGACACCCTGGGCTTTTCGGGGACTCAGGGGAAAGGGCGCTGAGTACGTCGCCTCCCTTTCTTTCTGGATCCGACCTCCCTCCTATCTCTTCGCAAGGGAGCTCTTCCCGCACGATGGGCTCCTGCCAGTGCAGAACTGCATTCTTACAAACCCTTGAATTTAGTCTTTAGCCTGCTCTTTACTCTTTTCTGTCCTCCACTGTCGTGTAATTTTTATGTATGTATGAATGCATGCATGTATGTATGTGTGTGTGTATTCATTCATTCATTCATTCATTCATTCGAGTTTGGGACGGTTAAAGGGCTGCCAGCATGAAAGAGGAAGTGATCACTGGGCCTGGAGGAAGAAGATTTGAGCGAAGCTCTCGGGAGACAGTCGTTGGCTCTTAATCTCTTTCAGTCCGAGTGTCCTCATCTCGGAAATGGAGACATTATCCCCAGGATTGCTGTGAGATTAAAAATAGTGGGCGCGGATGCTCCTCTAAAGGAAGGAAAGGTTTGCCCTGGCTGGTGTGGCTCAGTTGGTTGAGCGTTTCCGCACAACGAAATGTCACTGGTTTGATTCCTGGTCAGGGCACATGCCCATTGGAGGTCCAATCCCCCCAGCGGAGCTCATGTAGGAGGCAACCAACGATGTCTCTCTCTCTCTCTCTCTAATAAAAACATATTTTAAAAACAAAAGGTCCTATTTATTTATAAATAGTATAAATGAGCTTCTCAAAGCAGTTGCAAAATTCAGTTCAGCAGCAAAAGGCACACGTTTGACTTGCTGTGAAAACAGAAGGAATTTCACCATCAGATTATCCCACCTGCACTCACCCAATCTCTCCGGTCAGCCCCGGTCCATTAGGGAGGGACACGAGCACAGGGCCAGGCCAGGCCGATGGGCTTCCAGAAATAATCTCCTCACCAGCAGGAAACCCTCACGGTCCTTTCTGTTCGCCCTGAGAGCCGTAGCTAAAGACATCGCCATTACTGACTAAACGCAACGGATTAGCACGGCTCAGAGGCGAGGGAGCTCAGGTCGCCAGGCCCCATCCAGCAGAGGATCTGAGACGCACGCGCGGAGACGAGAGCCGAGGATTAGGCTCCGTTCCTGGGATGCTCTGCATGATTATTCCTGGATTAAAAGATGATTAAAGAACAGGACGCCCCGAATGCAGATGACACAGACAGACCCCGCAGTCACTTTTACTGAAAGGTCCCTAGAAGAGG